TATTCCTCTTTCGTCTTTTGACTTTTGGAGGCTCAATCACAGGGAGGTCGTCATCATCACACATGACGCCTTGAGGATCCACATCACAGTTGATGAAAGCCGATTGGTAATCAGCTTCACCTTCTCCTAGGGTGAACCTTGCGATCATCTCCGCCCTTACATCGTCGGTGGGGTTACAGAAGTCACTGCCCTTGACAATATATGGGATGTTTCCCTCTACTTCTAACATGATTTTCTTGTAGTTCGGGGAAACCATGTATGGGTTGCCGCAGGCTGGCCATATGAATGTGTAACCTTCCTCCATGCATTTCTTTCCAACAGACAGTACTGAAGGAGACTCATCTAAGACGAATGGGGAGTAGGTAGAGTCAAATTCGTCGAAATGAATGTCGGCGACTCCCTTTGTGGATGTCACTCCATTTGCGGTATAGAATGACATTGATTGGTCGCTTTCTCTCACTTCCAGACCTAATTTCTTGGCTCTGCCTTTCGATATCAAATCATACCCACATCCTGTGTCCATGATGAACTTTGTTCTTGACCCTTTGGCTGGAATAGACAATGTCTTTGTGTCTGCATGATCTTTCTTTCCCTCGCATACATGAGGAATGACTTTATGATGGAAAACTAGGCCGTCATCTTCGTCAAAAGACATAGTGACCGCTAGGTCACCCTTTGGTCCAACTGGTATTCGGACCCTCTTGATCTCAGTGTAGGGGACCATCAATATGCCTCTTGCCTCTGCGACCTTTTCTTCAAATCTGATTTGTTCTTTCCTCGTGTAGCAGGTGAGCTCTTTCTCATCGTATCGTTTGATGTCTGGACGTAGAGGTTTCCTTTCTACTACCTTCCATTTGTTCCTGACTGAGTAGATCGCTTCGTTCAACATGATCTCACAAGTCTCTTCATCAAAGGATACTTTTGCACCTCCTCCTCTTGCCTTGGCGGATGCAGCAATCCCTTCATCTTCGGATTCGTCCATGAAGAGTTCACCGTCAATGGCTGGGGCTCCAGGCTTCGCCTTAGGCTTCGGTTTGGGTTTTGCCTTGGGCTTTGGCCTATCGTCTCCTGAGTCAGCTGGTGCAGATATCCCTTTCTTAGGAGAGGCTTTTGGGTCATGGTAGAACTTGCAATCCTTCCCTTTGTCACAAGTTCCTCGAATCCACATCCAACATACTGGCTTGTCATTCTTTCCGACAGAAGATCCTCTGGATGGTGATCTGGGTTTCTTGTGACTGAATGGGCAATCTTTCCCCATAGTGCAGTTACCTTTCACGAAGTATTTGCATGGTATCTTCTTCTTGTCTGTACTCGGACTTCGGCTGCGATCCTTTCCATCACCTTTACCTTTCCCCTTTCCCTTTTTGTTCTTGTCTTCAGGATGCTTCTTGGGATTGGGTTTCGGCTTCACTGCAGCAGCGTCTTCTGAGACAACCTGTTCTTGTTGCCCTTTTGGTTTCTTCTTCGGATCAGCTGGTGCAGCTTTCAGTTTTGGAGCAGGTCCGCCTGGTTTGAGATTCTGAAAGATATTGGCCACATTCTTCACTGCCTTCTCCTTTTCCAGGATCATCCTGTCTTCAGTTTGCCGTTCGATGTGCCTTCTGATCATATCACGTAGATGTTTGTATGTCTTCTTGGCATCATCGTCGTTCATGCTGTTGTAGGCGCTGATGTCGTATGCCATGAGGTTTGAGTTCCTGATCTTTCTCCATAGGAGATCCCGAAGAGTTTCGTCGCTCGGGACGTCAACGGGCTTCATTCCTGCCAGAATCTCATCCCAAGTGTGGAAGAACAACGATAAGTTCTTGTCTCCTTGATATTCTAGTTGGTAGAGGTGCATTGAAGTATATAAGACTTCCACATTTGATGTTGTCTTGAAATTCATAAGGATCAGGGCTAGGACCTCTCTTCCCTTTATGAGGCTTGATGTTCTCCCTTTTGCATTGATCCTCGTCCTCAACTTCATAGCTACACCTGAACCATCATCTTTCGCATCCATGACGACCTTGGTAAGAGCTAGGCCGAGTTTGGCATCGATTGAATGGAATCTTTGGTCTCCTGAGTCGACAAACTTGTCCGGATCAGGATCGTCCATGGCTTCTTTGATCCAGTCGATCCAGGGCTCTTGATCTGAATCATTGGCCGCAATGATGATCGATTGAATGAGATTTGCCTTCCATAGTCCAAGATCATTGATCCTGGGCCATGACGGAACGTTTATCTTTGATTCTTCCTTCCTCGATACTTTCATGATTGTAGAGGTTGCCGGTGCAAGATGAGATGAAGAGGATGCTTCTGCTTCTGAAATCTTGTCCCTCAATGATTTGTTCGCCTCGGATAGCTCAATTGATTTCTCCCTTTCCTCGGCGTACTCATTGTGGGTTTCGGCATACCATTCATACATCTCATCTCGGCTCTCTGTCATTTCATTGTACCCGTCCTTGTAGTGCTTCGCCTCCTCTTTTGCGTTCCGAATCTCATCTTCCTCGGACGCGTGGGTTGGTAACCCGCGGTCTCTGGAACTAGGACGCTTGCTGTACCGAGAGACTATGGGTGCCATTCGTGCTTCTGCTTTTAATTTCGCATTTTCCATAATGACATTCTTTGTCTCCTTCTGGCTTTCCAATAGTGCATTCTCCAGTTCTCTGATCTTCTGTTGAATTTCAGCACCATCATCGCCGAACATAGGAGCTCTCATCATATTCTCTCTTTTCAGCTGTGCGTTGGCTTCGGATAGAGCGAGGTTGGCGTCTTTCAACTGTTGTCGTTCACGGATGGAACCTTCTAGGACTTCGTTGTTGAATATTTCTCCTTTTGCAATAACCTCCTTTGCGACGTTTGCTTCGTATTCATGGTGGCTCGCCTTCATTTCTGCCATTTCTTTAGCAGAGACTTCAGTCTGGCATACAAATATCTCCATCCTCATGCCCACTTCCATCTCTTCTATCTCCGCTCTCGCGTTGAGTTCAGCTCCACGTGCCATAGCTAGTTGACCTCGTAGATGATCAATAACCATAGCTTCCTGATTGCTCTGATCTTGAGATGAGTGAACACTGTGTTGAAGACGTCTTTCCCTGACCTCACTGTTCCATTGTTCTTCTCTCTGGTGTTGGATCACCTCGTGCATGTTGACATTCTCATCCTGTAGCGCAATCATTCTAGCTTGTATCTGGTCAGCTATTCCGACGAAGGCTGTGTTCTCATCCTGCATGGCTTTTGATCTTCTATTGATCGCCAATGAAGATTCATTCTGTTCTTGGATGTGTCCAATTGCTGCTTGAAGCTCTTGGGACATTCTGTCCTTCGTTGCTTTCACAGATTCAAGCTCTGAATGTTCTTGATGAGTTTCTTGTGCAAGCTCTTGATATCTCATGTAGATATGTTCAGCTGTCGATTCCGCCAAGCGTAGCTTGTGTTCGAGCTCTTCAATTCTTATTGTCGCTCCTTCATCTTCCTGTGTCATCTCTTGTAGATGTTCCTGCATCTTCCTGTTGTAGTCATACATTTGCCTGAACTCCACTTCAGCCTCGTGGTGTAGTCGTGAGTATCCGGCTTGGATGCATTCATATTCTTCATGAAGAAAATTGTATGCGTTTCTCGCCGATCTCAATTCTTCACCCAGCTGAATCTCTCTTCTTTGCTCTTTGGTTCCTCTATCATCGTCACGTCTCTTCTCTATACTCCTTCTTGGGGATCTCGCGGTAGACGTTATAGGCGATGTAGATCTTGTTGTAGCTCTCATCGATCTTCTTGGTCCTACGGGTGCAAGATCGGTCAGATTCCGAGCCGGTGGCACGGATCTTTCCGAGATTTGTGATCCAGTAGGCATAGTGATAACGTCAGCATTTGCTGATGAATCAGTACCCATTGTAGAGTCTGGTGACGAAATGGTGTTGGGACCACCAGGAGCAGCGAATGAATAGGGTTCGCTTCCATTTCCTCCTGAGCTTGACATTGCAGGTTTCTGTAATGACTAGTCTTGTTCTTGGTCTCGTGTAGCTCGTACGGCTATAAAGAGCGCGTACGGCTGATAACCTGCGAGTGGATCTTAATCAGCGAAGTTTGAAGCTATCACTGACGATCCATAAGCGGCGTAGCGTCGGAACGGAAACCGCACCTTTTCTAGTCGCTTGATCCTTGAGCCAAAGTACATATGGTACATATATATGTACAAGTTGCACTGTACGTGTTGCTGCACTTCCATTCGCAGAAAACATATATATCAGGTTGCTAAACCTCTGTCATAAAAAAGAGTAGCAGGTTAATAGCAGGTGAATAGCATGTCCTTTGAAGCTCGATCGCAAAGTATCTATTCTACTATAGCTAAACATATTCTTCAATCGTGTTCAATCTCACCTCCAGTTTCTTTCTAATCATTCCAGCTTATTTTTGGACTTCGATTCAATTTTAGGAGGTTGCCTAGCACTTTTTTCCACTCACTGTGATGAACTTGAGACAGTTGAATGATACACCACCCATACAAAGATGTAAACCATTCTGGGGTTCTTTTATATTAATCACCGTACTAAAGCCACTGTAAAACCATACCATGTCTTATTCATCAAACATCAACCGTCCACAGTGTCGTTTGGACACGCACCTCTGCACAATGGGCGATCTTTGTTGACCGTGTCGGACCCGTAGACGGGCGGTTGGTTGTTGACGTGGAAGACCGTGATCAGGACCAGCAAAATGAAAGCGAAAGGGGTTGACCCAACAGCTTAGGTTTCTATCAGGACTAGATAATCTACTACCCAGGATCCAAGGGCATCCAGGGCAAACCACTAGTTCGCTCGTAACCGTTCCAAAGACTGAAGCCATAGACCTGGAATCCCTTGTTCCCTATTACAGTATAGTGAGTATAGTGGGATCCGCTAGGTACAAAAATACTTAATAATCTTAATAGAGAACACCAGGTGCCGCGGCCAGCTCGATGGAGACTTCACCAGCTCGCCCCCTGTACTCGCCAGAAACGAACCGGTTGCAGCGCATGCATTTTTGGCGCCTGCATCGTCTCCGCTCTCAGATCGATCTTGTCCGACGCCCAGAGCCGACGACTGCCACGATCGATCCTGTCACGGCTGAAATGACGATGGAGACGAAGATGGGCTCCCAGACCATCCGGACTGGACCCATGAGAATGGCCCCAATGCTTGGAACTCTTCCATACATGGATGGTCTGGGGGTTCGAGTCACCTTTGGGGTGGTGGGGGTTGAGACCTATCTGAAGTATATGAGTCAACTATAGAATATATTAGAATACATCATGCCAAACAAGGGCTGCACAAGAGGAAGAACACCACAGAGTATCGATTCACAATCCACAGTTTAAATGTTGCTTTTCAATCGTTTTCGGCCACATGGAGAGTCGGCAACCAGTTCCCCCCCTTCGATATGCCAGTCCCGATGCTGCTTAGATGAGCGGTGCACGGATCCGACCATCGGGATCCGTCCATCCAGGTTTGACCAATATTGTATATCCCTAGGGCCTTCTCAGAAGGTACTATACACGAGATAGCAAAGGTATTCTAGTGTGTTTGGACAAGGTTTCTATACACTCACTATATCATATCCCATGCACGGACGTTCCTAATCATCTCCAAATGATCGTGGGACAATCCAATAATGATTTGCATAGTGTCATTCCATATCAACACTATAACATTCCCTCAAGGACTCCAGTGACTCCAACCACATCCTCGCAGGGGGTTTTTCACCCCCAAACAGGCACCCACCCCAATCACTTCACCCGACCAGCGAAACACTCATCATCTAGTGCTTCGCCTCCCACGAAGGCAACATGCAGCTCCCTCCTTGGTCTCCATCGGTCCGCACCACGTCGCTGGCGTTGTCGGCCACCGTGGCGCCGTTTTCGCCGGTTCGTTCGGTCCGCACTCTCCGATCCTGGAAGCTCGCTCGGGAAGTGCTCAGCAGGAGTGGAATGGTTCGGAGGTGTTTCGGGGTTGGTCGGTAGGGACCTGTGACCCGTAGACGGGACGACCTGTCTGGGACGGTTTCATGCAACAGCAAAGCATCCATATGGGGCGGGACAAATCATAGACATTGGTGTCAATGTGAGACAAACATTCCATCCCTGCACCTCCCGCATATCCTCAGGTTCGGTGGTTGGACCCCCAACCACCTCTATACAGTGGTCTTTGAGGTTGGGTCTCTAAGAGGCTATTTAAAGCATTTAAATCCCCTGTGGAAATACCGGTGTACCTTGAGATTTGATTGTATAGTTATAAAACAAAAAAACAGGTTCCGAGGGGCAGTTTGCCCCACTATAGAATCAAGTATCAACCTCCTGCAGTGCTGGACACCTGTTCTCTATAGAATCAAGTGCCTCAGGGTATGGGTCTTCATGATCATGACAAAATGATAGCAAAACCTGGGAAAATAACTGATGCGTAGCCAAGGTTGTTTTGAATCTATAGAGAAGTGTGGGGACATATGAAGGTTAAACTTGATTGTAAAAAAAACATGGATGAAAGTGGCCCAAGAGGTTGGTTTTGATTTTATAGAGAAGTGTGGGGACATATGAAGGTTGAAATTGACAAAAGTGGCCCAAGAGGTTTGTTTTGATTTTCAACACTATAGAATGAAATATCAACTTACCTGACATCACAACACACCATCGGCCGTGCTATTCCGGATTTGCTGTCCAGGAACCGGGACAACATATCATCCCATGTCCCCAGGTTAGGGGATTCACCCATAGGAAATATAGAAAGTCACCTCAAGCAAAACCAGGTAATGCAAAGATTAGTTCCAAACTTTGGTACTCTTTTTGACCCTTTTTGGTGAGTACCAAACTGAACCCATACACCTCCATTGACTAACCCTAACTTTTGGGAGGCAGTTCAAAAAGGGTCAAGGACGTACAGCGACCAGACTCTGGACTGATATGATATGTGGAAACACCAAACAAACGCAAATAGAATCGGCAATGGCCAATTCTGAAAATACCAAGCCACATACATATATAATGCCGTCCAATACCCAATCACATTCCATGGGACTGGCATGTAATGGCATGTATACCGAGAAACAACAGTGGTGGTTGAAGTCGGGGATCAATGTTAACTTTGTCGTCTATTCCAGTCCCAAACAGGTCGAACGAACATGGAATCTTTCCCATCCATCCCACCGTCTCAACCATCTCCAGACCGTCTCAACTGAACATGGACATGCTCCATGCTGTTGAGAAAAGCAAGCAAAACAAGTCCAACATGAACTTATTCGATTTGTGAAGACTGTAAGAGTTGGACGTATGATTATAATCAAAAACAACCAACACATATCAACAAATAACACAATTATGTCTATAAGTCACGGGCAACCTTCTCACAAGATCTTGCCATCCCTGCCTCCAACGCTGTCGCCAAGGGAAGCCTTTGCGATTTCAACGGTCAAGGCCTTCATAGATGGTGATCCTGAGAGTCATTGAGAAGCTCTGGGATTCGTTCGTAGAGGTGAGGTATGTGGACGGTTCACTGACGTGGAGAGAAACTCAACCCGAATTCCATCTACCGGGACCTTCAGTTCGTGACCTCTTCAGAGTCCAAGTGACCTTTTGCAGGCCTTTTCGTGACCTCATCCTGGGATAACAAGTTCAGTCACTTTGAAGGTCCTGGTGCAATACCCCTTGAGCATGTACTTGTACTTATTATACATATTATTCTAGTTACCTAGAGCCTGAGTGACCTGCATTTTGAACCACCAACCATTAAACAAATGGTATTTTTCTATCAAAACAGAGGCTCCAGGTATACAGTAGGTTTCGGAGGCCGTCGAAAGATCCACCTTCGGACGCGAAGGATGACGGGTGATGACGGAGGCCCCGAAGGAACAAACTCTGCGGAAGGAACAAATCCTGGAGTCATGGAATCCTCTTCGGCGTCTCCATTGGGGCGTTGGCATGCCTAGTGAGTTCTGAACCAGGCAGGCATTTGTTTTAGACATGTTGTCATTCCATCTCAACGTTTCAGACATGTTGAAACTTTCTGAAGAACGCAACCTGTCTGGGACTGGAAGAAAGAACCACCCCCCATTGACCCCCGAAATCAACCACCCTTGGCCTGATCAACAAAGATGCCAGTCCCAAAGGTTGTGTCTGGGCATGTAAGGTTTTGTTGGTTCAATCCACAATATGTTTCACCAAAAACTGTGTGCTGCATGCGCCAGCTTCTGCAACTTGACCTTTTTGGAATCCCTGATAAGTGACCTTTTTGCAGGCCTGGAACTTGTGACCTCAAACCACGGGATCAAGTTCGGTCGAAGGTCACCAGGTGAAACCACCCGACGTCGTGACTGTGTCGAACCACCAGGTCATCTGTGGATCCCGGAGCTCGCTCGTAGTCATATCCTATCCCTAGCGCTCCTGGCCTGCTGAGAAGGTTGTTAAGGTGGGTCCACCTTCTGAGGATATGGTTAGTTGAAAAGGGTATAAACCATCCATGTATGGTACTTTTTGTTAGTACCTATGGATGGTTGAAAAGGTCTCAATGTACTTGTGTATAAATAATATGTATATATATATATATATACACGTAATATTGTATAATCAATATACATGGAGTGTCTGGGCACAATTGACCCATCGTGACCCCTGAACTCAAATACCCAAGCTGACCGGTATATTTCCAGTATATATGGCTGTGGGTCATGGCACCCGGAGCTCGTTTCACCCTGGTAGGTGGATCTACTGCAGGTCGTCTATTCTGTTCATGTTCGCTGTGAAAAAGGGGGCTCCACCAGTTTGGACAAACAGCCGCAACGATGTCCCCCGTTTGCCCAAGGCACTCGTTGCTGAGCCCACAAACGCACAAGCGTGACTCCGAAGAAGCAAGCCTCAGGCAGATTTTGAGAACACTGGAAGCTGGGTGCAGAATGGAGATACCCTGAATCCCTCAATGTCCCAAGAAAGTAGGGCACCCAGGGCAGCCATTACCCGCGCTAGGCTCATCTTCAGAAGACCCTGTGGACCGGGAATCTATTCGGTCCATTGCCAAACGCTCCATGGAAGTGACCAGTAATGGCCTCGACTCATACCCCATCACTCCACCAGTCATGTACTTGAGCTTCGGCAGTCCCGTTTTTGGCGTCTGGACTTGGGACGCTGCACATGGATCATCTGGAAGCTGATTCAGTGTGATGGACAATGTTGCGAGCACTGTCCCATGTCATGTTGAATGGTGGGGCCGTGGGGCCCAGGTGAACAGGATGTCGTCTTCGGCGACGATACGTGGGCGAAGGTTGCGGTGGGTTCTGTCCTCTTCGTGACGTATCTGGGCTGTGGGTCAACAGGAACCATGGGACTGACCACCAACATAATTACCCGAAGACTCCATGGGATTGACCTGCATACCGATCAGTTGGAGTGGTTGAAAAAGGGGCATGTAAGCCTGTATGTTAGTTCGATGGAGTCTCTGCGACTGAAAGACAACTTCCAAACAAGGTCAACCTCCGTGCTTGCTGCTTCCAGATCTTGACTTACCGCCACAGGCCGTCAGTTCAGCACCCAGCTGCCAGTTGATCTTCTCGTGGTGAGACCACTGCAAGCTGGCCTCCCTCGAGCCGGACCACAGGATGACCTCACAAGTCGAGCTGACTGCCCAGCGGCAGGGATGACTTTTGGGGGATTCCTTCGTCGCCCAGGCAACGCATCAGTGGATGTTTTGCAAATGTTGTTGCATTTACCTGCAGTTGGTAGAAGGCAACACACTCATGTAAAATTTCCATGGTGTTTCACGTACAACTAGCGGATGATAATCATGATAAGGATGTAAATGTTATTCCTAACTTATGATGGCAATGATGATAATAATGATGAAGGTGTTTATTATACATTTCATACTGCGCATATACGGTGTATTGGTTTTACAGTTTTACATGTTGTTGTCAACGAACCTGGGGATCTGGGACTTCTCAACATGAGCACTGAATCAAACATGCAAAGCGCCGCATGGAATCTTGCTTTGCAGCGCCCGAAAGTTCCAGGTCTCAACAATTGCCAATGTGATTCCCACAAAACGATGTGATGCCGTGCATCCAAAGCAGTGAGCAGTTAGCATCCTGGATGTTTTCGGTGTGTTCCACACGTAAAACACGTTGTCCATGACCACCGCTTCGGTCAAACACTTTGTCCATCACCCAGGTCCGGGCCTGCAAGTCATTCCCGGCGGAGATCAAACCCATGGGGGACGACACCACCTGGTGCGGTCGAAGATTGCTCGGTCTGCAAAAAGGTCGACGGGTGAGTGGGACAGAGTTGGGCGCTGAAGGGGATTCAAAGCAGTCCTGAAAAACAAAAAAGGAACATATCCATACATATCCAAGATATCCAAGAAGTTAAGACGTCAAGAACAAATGTTAACTGAAGTGCTGATATTTACTTATTTCAACACACGATTAAGAACCTTTCAATCATAACACTTCCAACATGGTTGACTGCATGATGCGAGATCCAACACGACACGCAACACGATACACTCCAATTGTTATTGTAGGGAATCATCGTTTTGAACGTCCAACAGCTCACCAGTCTGCTGCAAGAGCAGTGCCAGTCACATCAAGTTACCAAAAAACAGTTCCTGGCTCACACTCGTTTGTTGATCTGCTGTCTGGGGAGTTCTCCAATTCGCAACATCGTTGGCTGGGGTGATACATGTACATTGCCAAAAAAGGCATGAAGCAAACGTTCCAAAGACTCTGGACAGCCCTTCGGTCTGGACTCTGGACAACACCTATGATCTAGGACCCTGCATAATAGGTCCGGCCTCGTTCTTTTTTGGTGCAAGAGCGCCCTGGGCTGTATCACCCACACAAAAAATACTTTGGTTAACACCCACCATAATAACATAAATCTGACAAATTTCCTGGCATGTCCGCCGACCCCTGCTTATAGCCTTTGCCTGAGCGGGGCGGCGCCAGGGACACCGGAGGGTGGAACGGGTGGCAGTGCAAACGAAAGCCCCAGCATGCCACGTTAAGCAGCCACCCCCGCCTTCAAAGCCCTACTGCGTCGGCATCACTCCTGCACTGGCCAAACAAAGGCCGCAGCTTGGCTCAGAAAGCTTTTTCTATGGGCTTCCGAAGGCAACGTTAGACACCCACGGGCCCCGCCCGCAAACGTCCCTGCAGGCCGTTTGCGCGCCTGCGAACCCCTCTGGGGGCCGTTTGCCCGCCCGCAAATCTCCTGAGGTGCGGACAGTGCCGTCTGCCAGGCGTCAAACCCTTCCCGGGACCTCTGGCCGCACTCCTGCACTGCAGCTTTTTCTATGGGCTTCCGAAGGCAACGTTAGACACCCACGGGCCCCGCCCGCAAACGTCCCTGCAGGCCGTTTGCGCGCCTGCGAACCCCTCTGGGGGCCGTTTGCCCGCCCGCAAATCTCCTGAGGTGCGGACAGTGCCGTCTGCCAGGCGTCAAACCCTTCCCGGGACCTGTGGCCGCACTCCTGCACTGCAGCTATGCCGGCCAAAGGCCGCAGCTTGGCCAAGAAAGCTTTTTTTCTCTGGGCTTCCGAAGGCAACGTTAGACACCCACGGGCCCCGCCCGCAAACGTCCCTGCAGGCCGTTTGCGCGCCTGCGAACCCCTCTGGGGGCCGTTTGCCCGCCCGCAAACCCTCCTGAGGTGCGGACAGTGCCGTCTGCCAGGCGTCAAACCCTTCCCGGGACCTCTGGCCGCACTCCTGCACCGCAGCTATGCCGGCCAAAGGCCGCAGCTTGGCCCAGAAAGCTTTTTCTCTGGGCTTCCGAAGGCAACGTTAGACACATGTCTGGGCTTCCGAAGGCAACGTGACCCCCAGTTACATCAGTAGAGCATGTCAGGGCTCTCTTTCCTGCACATTCATGCCATTCCTCTTTTGAAACTGATAACAGGCCCTACACATCCACCGCCACTTTGGAGATCTGGTACACTTCACAGACAGTATCTCAGCTGTGTGATTCCAATCTGGATGGCTCTTCACATAGTAACATTCAACTGGTTCGGAGCTCTCTGCGGTCGCAGAGTTTCCAGGCTCACGGCATATCCCTGCTTTGCGCTGCTGTTTGATTTTGGCCCACGATTCCTTCTGCCAGAATTGTTTGGGCGCCACCGCAAAACATTGATATCAGCTGTTCCGCCACTCAACATTGCATGCCACACTTTAAACCCAAACTGGTGATACATGAACTTCATCACAGGGCGAGGCACATGTGCGAACGCCGACACATGGTGCTTCCAGTGTAGCAAAGCTGATGCTTTTGCCACAGACACACTCTGGAATGGATAAAAACATGCAGCGATATCAGCAGACAGATGGAAAGCCACCTCATAGAGATCTTCTTTGTCTCCCAGGATTGCCAAAAGTGTCTGCACCTTTTCATCCTCCTACACAGGCTATGTTGTTCTTGCTATATCGAAAACCAACTTGAATACATCAGAAACCGTTCTCACCTAACATGATCGTTCGTAATAAATAAATCTATCTACATATATAAATATATCAGCTGGTGTAGCTGTAGGTCTTTGTGGTCGAGCCGATGTGACCTCTAGTGACATCAGAAGGTTTAAAAACAATTCATTATATCACCCAAGCTGTATATAGATATAAATATATATATATATATCAGCTGGTGTAGCTGGGAGTCTTTGTGGTCGAGCCGACGTGACATTCTTTCTGGCAAATCTTCTGACATTCTTTCTCGCGTATTTTCTGACAGTTCTTGTGGCATATCATCTGACATTCTTTCTGTTCTTTTCTGGCATCTCTTCTGGTCTTCGTTCTGGCATTCCGTACGGCAAATCTTCTGACATTCTTTCTGGCGTTCTATCTGGCATATCTTGGCCGCGCACTCACTTGCGCACTGAAAAAAATCTCACTTGCGCGCTTTACCTCACTTGAGCACCGAGCACTCACTTGCGCACTTTCACGGGGGGAAGGTGAACGGAGTCAACCACCAAACAATCTAATGGGTGGGGTGGGGGGAAGGGTGGCAACAGGCACTCTACAACCGCCCAACAATCTATTGGGTAGGGGGGTGGGAGAAGGTGAAAGGACTCAGCCACCAAACAAAATAATGTTTGTGGTTGTGTGTTTGTGATTGTGGTTGTGGTTGCGTGCTGTGGTTGAGGTCCGGCAGGGAACACTTGGGTCTGGAGCTCGCGGTTGAGGTCCGGCAAGGAACACTGGGCGTGGATGGTCGTTGAGGTCCGGCAGGGAACACTGGGCGTGGATGGTCGTGGTTGAGGTGCGGCAGGGAACGCTGGGCGTGGTTGAGGTCCGGCAGGGAACACTGGGCGTGGATGGTCATGGTTGAGGTCGGCGGAGGAGGGCAAGGCAGAGGAGGACGCGGAGGAGAAGGAGGAGGAGGACGACGATGAGGAGGAGATGGGGCTGTCGTAAAATCTAACAACCCTCACCTGACAGGTGGGGAACTAGATTGAATCAAAGCTGCTTTTTGTTTTTAAGTTGAGTGACTTTCATCCATTTTCGAGATGCGTCACCGGTCTTTTACTCTACTCTTCGTGGGTCGCCCAGGGTCTCCTGGATAGAGACCTCAGCGACCACTTTTGTCGGTGAGTCAGTTGTCTCTTCGAGCTCTTGAAATATTTTAGTCGAACATTTCGTGTCTACGAATCAATACTCAACCCCTGAAGGGTGGCAACAGGCAATCTACAACCCATGCACAATCTATTGGGCGGGGGTTGGGAGAAGGTGAAAGGAAACTCAACCACCAAACAGTCTAATAAGTGGGGTGGGGGAAGGGTGGCAACAGGCAACCTACAACCACCCAACAATCTATTGGGTGGGGGTGGGGGGTGGGAGTAAGTGAAAGGAGACTCAACCAGCAGGCCATCTACAACCACAGAAGGTCAAAGGAGATTACAACCACCAGGGTTCACCACCCCAGGCAGGGACGTGGATCACCAGCACATGCCCCCCGAAAAAAAGAAACAAGGATGACGAAGCAAAAGGGCTACACATATTCTATATACCCAGAGCATCACACACGATGCGCCAATGGTGTGTCATTTGCAACATTTTCACTCTGCCAGCTGTTCATCCACCCTCTGTCGCGGCGCGCCAGAATCAACCCACACTGTGAGATTCTTGTATATGCACATGTAGACTCAATTTCCTCACCAACTTTTCGGGGGGGTCAACTTATATACGAACTACTGTGGGGATGTTGACTCTTGGCCACACTTGAATGTATGTAGCAATTCCTCTGAAGCCACACGCGGTACATGAGATGCAGTGGAACGTGTGCCGGACATGATCTTTCCTGTGTTCGTGCTTGGACACTGCGATCTCTACTTTCTTCACAGAATCTCGTTCCCGACCGGATTCGCTCCTTCATTCGCTGTCTGTCCAGGTCAGGTACCGGCTGCAGGCAGCTTTTTGAACGCCTGCCTCTTGAGACATGGACGCTTATGGCCGCACAAGGTTCACAGTCATGATCGGTGTATGTCTAATTTATTCTTTCCATGGCTGTGAATTTCATTGTTTCATGGTTGCGTCTTTCTTTAGTTTGGTGTGGATTGTCTCTTTGTGTGCTTGCTTTGTTTGTTTGGTGGCTGTTTTCGATTCAGTGCTTCGACCTGTGACAGCAGGTGGATTTCTGCATGCTCTCGATTGAACAATAGCCAAGTGACAATAGCTCGAGAAAACATCAAAATGGTTCGGAACACCCCATGAAATTGTGTTTCCCAAACGTAGCGTTGCTGCACCAAGTATACTCAAACAACCCACACTTATGCGCTGGAAATGTTAGGAACACCCCATTGAAACGTGTCACCCGAAAGGCACCGTTGGCGCACCAAATATAGTCAAATAAAGGTGCGCCGGTGCAGTGCAAAGTATAGTATAGTCCTTTTCCAGTGCACAAGCGGGTATCATGTCCAGTGCACAAGCAAGTAGAATTTCCAGTCCACAAGCAAGTGTTCGCCCCAGATCTTCTGACTCGCGGATGAGGTCCGGCGGGGAACACTGCCAGCCGAACTCGCGGTTGAGGTCCGGCGGGGAACACTGTCAGCCGAAGCTCGCGTTTGAGGTCAGGCTGGGGACACTGCCAGCCAGCCGAAGCTCGTGGTTCAGGTCCGACGGGGAACACTGCCAGCCGCAGTTGAGGTCGGGGAACACTGCCATCCGGAGCTGGTGGTTGAGGTCCGGCGGGGAACGCTGCCATCCTGCAGAAGGATGACCGCAGCTGACATAAATTCAAACAACCCTCACCTAAGGAACAACAAATATAATATGTATATATATATATATGTTTATTTATATGGTTATTTATAACATATCTACAACATAGAATACAGGCTCCTATAGCACTGCGACCCCCAAGCCAAAGCCCCTTCGAATTACCCTGGAAACACCGCGTCTTCTGGCTCGCGCTCGGCCATTCAAACGGTCCCGCCTGCGCCACAGCAGCTGCATGCCCTGTGAGCAGACGGTCTAGCCGGAGGGCTTGGAGCATTCGTGCACCAGCGAAGTGCATTCCCTCCCAGGTCAGGAGCTGACCTCCTGAAATAATAATTACTGAGGGATTGGGGTTTCCCCAGTCTCCATTGGGGATCTGACCATCCTTCCGTCTCGATTCTCTCCACCTCATGAAATACTGGAGTTGATGATACAAGACTACTCAGTGAGGTTTTCCCATGTCAGTGATGTTTTCACCTGGACCGGAAGACCCGGGTCTTCTCTTAAGGAGCCATGGCTCCAACGTGTCAACAGAATGGACATCCAAATCAGGGTTTTGGAGGATGGTTTTGACTCCATCTCCTGCGACACTTGAGTGGAGTGTGAAGAGAGGGTCCCCAGCTGTTTGGGACAGATCACGAAAACAGATGTTGAGGGACCCTATTTTTGACTATCCCATAGGTATGCCAGTGGGCTCCTATTTACGGTCAATTAACCTCTCTTGGACTCAAATAAAAATGATTTGGGAGTCCATCAAAGACAGTGGCATAAATGCACCAATGCAAGTGTGATAGCTTGTCGCTGACAAAGCAATCGCACCAGGAACTACCATTTGCCAACTGCTTCAACTGGTGAATATTTTCCATTTGGAGACTTTGCATGGGGTTAGAGAGCTGAAAAAAGGCACTCCTTCACTGGGCGATCGAGCTCGAAAGTGCAACTGTGGTGAAACGAAACACACCTGTGCCCAAAATGAACCTGCATATCAAAGATTACCGCAGCCTCCGCAGCCTTCGCAACCAAACGAATCCAACAGATTGATACCACTGACAAACAACACCTTGACATTGGGTCATTGGGTATGTCTGGTTTCCTGAGACCTGCTATTAGCACGACAGGTTGCAGTTCTACTTTTGAGCCTCCAAAGTAATTCTTGCAAATAGCGATAGACTTCTCCGCTCGGGAATTCCGCAGAACTTGGGAGGGCCAAGTCGTCGGTGCGTCTTTCAACGATGGGATCCCTAATGCTCGAGGCGAGGTTCGGCGCTGAACAACGCGGCTCCGATCTCCACGGACGGAGGATGAATGAAGAAGAAAGAGCAGGAAAACGGTAGCGACAAGTCATGGGTGGGTATACCGGGTCGCGTGCATTCTGAGAAACGCCTGAGCTCAAATACATCTACACTTGCATCAGGAATTGGAAGATGGAAAGGTGGCTTCCAGGCTGCGGTCGCTTCGGTGGACTGGGGCGGGAGCTCCGACTGGGCAGTGATTGATTTCGACCTGAACATACCTGAACCATCCATGGGACTGGAACAGATACCTACATTGAGTGCTCAAAAACAACAAACAACACACCAGCTGACAGGAAAATAGGTCAGTCCCGTGGATGGTCTGGAAAAAAAGAGAGGTCAGCTGGGATTCAATAGGTTGATAGTTGGGGGCAATTGGAAAAATGGAAGTGGACATGGCTTGGGGGCCCTAAGTAAGTGGATCATGGACACCCCTGCACCCTTGGTTATTTTATATGTGTTCTGTTTAGCCCCTCACTTGCCACAGTGAGGCCCAGACCAACTGAAAGGGTGACAAACATCTGAATAGACCTCTTCTGGGAACTTCACTAATCCACCTTCAAGTCGGAGTCTGGAATGCGGCTCGCATCCGCTAGTAGAGGTCTTCTCATCCACCTGTTTGGTCTTTACAAAAAAAACACTGAACAGGGGACAGGGGCACTGCGTTTTCAAATCTATCCAGGTCCAGAAGCAGCTTTTTGTAATAGTCGCTCCGCACTTCAAGTCGCCCCCCCTCTGCCTCGGAGTCGAGCACTTGGACGGCGCTCCTCTAACAGCGCCACCGTGCCATCGCCCAACCCTCAGACCGAGGTCTCGGGAGTTACGACGCGCGTGGCGGGCGGCCGTGGGTGGCGTGGGTGGCGGGGGTGGCGTGGGTGGCGGGGGAGGGAAGAGCGAGAAGAGGTCTTTGACTGGAAAGCGCCACATCCATGGGGTATTGAGAGTACGTCTGCAACTCTTCCAGTCTCGTTTTGGACTGGACTATTCATCTGGGACCGGAAGCCCATCACCGACCTTCAGTGAAGGGGCAAAGTGCGGGGGGGAGCTCCAGTGAATGCCTTCCGGTGTATTTTCTGTGTGGGAGTGGAGTCCAGAAAGAATGCTGGTAGGATCAGAGCAACCAACAGAGTTTAAAGAACCCCAGTTCGCCTATCCCATATGTAATTTAGGTGCCGGGTCTATTTATGGTCACTTAACCTCTCTTGGAATGTCCTCCAATTCTGACAGTTGGTCTGTTCATGTCTGTTGAGTTCGACTCCAATTGCCCGTGGCAGTTGTCGTACGAGTACCAAAAAAGCTGTGGGACATCTTCCTACACAGGCACGGAGATGCTAAACACTCCATAGGATGGGGTCTTTACTCACATACAGGGGGGGTGAGGTTGAGGGGTGAATCTGCCGACTATGTGTGCCATACACGGTGACTGCATGTGTCTGGGAAGGAAGTGTGTGTCGTGAAGCAACTGAGCTCGACGCCTCCACCGAAGCCTTTGGAACCACGGTCTGCCCGAGCTCTCAAGCAACTTTCATCCCCTAAAAAGTGGGGTAAACTGGTCCATGCCCTCCCCACAGGCGTCCACAAACCTCCACCAAAGGCACCTGCGGCCAAGGTCTCATCTGGCAAATAAGCCAAAGAATGCCTCGAGGCTGAGTTGGGCAAAAGTGCTGGACCCTTGACTTGATGTATGTTTTTTTGTGCAAATGAGAGGAGGTTCCAGCCCATAGAAATCTGTAACACAAAAGACTATTCATCTTCAATCATCTTCAGTGACATGAACCTTTTCGGGGCTGGCAAAACACTTGCTCCTACTCCACTGGCCGCTAAAGTTCAGCTCTGGGGCTTTTCCTCCACCCAAATAACTCTGAACCTCTTCCTGATGTCTCATCAACCTTCCTCTGGGTGGGGAGCTTTGGCACTCGGATTGGTCCACAACACGGGGGCTGCAACTAAGAATCCCAACCACGACGGGACCAGTCCCCCCTGTTTGCTCGCCACCGTTGGAGGACTCTCTCAAAGGAAAAACACCAGTGATCACCCAGGTCAAGAACATCACCTCCGATCCGCACATCGTCTTCGCGCCCCCAGCCCAAAGGATCACCAGTGATCACCAAGTCAAGAAAACATCTACGCTCCAAGCGCCAAAAAACGTTCGGATCGGGATCCACGGAGTGAAAACGAACCCCCTCCCCCGTGGAACAAGGTCGGTTTTCGCCACCCGAGACGAGAGGAGGTCGACCTGGTCTCCACCTGAACGGACCCCCGATCTCATGGTCGTCGTACATCGTTGTACGTTCCACCCGAACGCGGAACCGCCACCGGGCGACGACTGGGTCGACCAAGCGACGACCGTCTTCGTTTTGGTCCGAACAACAAACGGTGCCATGTCAAACGGTCGACTTGGTGACTTGAACGAAAAAACTCGGAAGGTACTTGGACCCTGCAAACCTACCCCATAGGGTCCAGGTACCTCCTGAGGATGGTCTTGGAGGTGAAAGTACTTCCTGAGGATGGTCGAACTGGGGCCAAAGGACGTTAGGGTACATAACAGTGTCTCCGTCCTCACCTTCTCAAAGGGTGGCATGGATCCCAAAGGGTATCGTCATCGTCCATATCAGTATCTGTCTCATGTCTAAGAGTCTAAGACAACCAAAGGGTTCACCGGTCACCCCCAGCACGCAGCCCAGCTCCAGCTGCGGCCCAGGTGCACAAAGGGCGGATTGAGCAGTTGTGGCCCAGTGGCTGTTGCTGACTCCTGTGGCTGTCGCATGCCCGGAGCTGATGGGTGAACGATACCTGCTTGGTCCTTGACCTGCTTGCCCAAGTGGGCAACTGGGAGAGTTCATGTTGTTCCTTTCGATGATGACAAGAAGGTAGGACAAGTAAATGAAGACACAAAAAGAGTCTAAATGAATCAACTACCAATTCATATGAATCAACTACCAATTCATTGAACAAATGTTGTGAATTTCTGCTTGTCGGTGCTGAACGATGCCAGTTAAACCATTACAATTGGAGACGTTCTTTTTCAGGTTGGTTTGTGCAAGTTTGAGTCAACACACCACTCAACAACACAAACATGTATACGCAAACTATCCATGTTGATCAGTTACAGTACTTGCTTTAAGGATCTTCAAGGTCATAAATGGGTGTTGGGATAAATGCGAAACACTCCATGTATGGAATCTTTTGCCTACATTGGCACCCCTCGAACCACCCCTGCCCTGATCGGGAGCCATGTCGGCCAGTTCCCAGCGGTCATGTCTGGGTAGGTATTACAACCAGCAGTTCCATGTCAGCCCTTGGAGGATCCGTTCTGACCGAGACACCGAGACACTTCACTCCTCACAACCAGCTCCTGACTCCATCAGTGTCCCAAAATGTGTCAAGGAAAATCAGGCTCCAACCTTGTTCCAGGTGTGGTGGATGTTTGTTACATATGACATGACAAAACACGGTAGAAGACACACTTGGATCTCTGCACTGTCTTGCGCACTGCCATGGAGGTCTATACTCTCCATCATGGGTTGGTGGAGTTCACCACCTGTTTGGTCGCAAGAGGCTCATCCTTCTGGGCCATGCTCATCCGCCCAGTTTTCTGGCCACGCCCCGGCCGATGCTTAAAGGGTGGTTGGCAGGTGATCCATTTCGACGATCCGCGTTCCCGGTCCGTCCCCGCCTCGCCCAGATCCTGCTGCATCAGCACCTTGCGACCTGACGCGTGGCCCGGGTTTCGAGAGGCTCGCAGACTGGCCGGCCGAGGGGTCAATGCCAGGTATACCAGGGGCCACCCGCACGGCTTCACGAGGAACCCCTTGGTCATCAAACAACAAAACACAAAAGGCTAAGGGCGTAAACATGGTCCGGATCACGGTTCTAACTTGTTTCTGATTTGTGGGACTGGAAAAATGACATGGGAGACCCTGAAAACGCTGGACGTGATCTGCATTGGAGTGTTATATTGATCTACATCAGGGGGGTTTTAATGTCAAACACAAACGTCCTGGTACGTTGTGAACCTCTAGTGCTCCAACAAACTCCTCAAAAGGTGGGGAACGACCGCGCAAATTCCATTCTATTAGGATGCTATTTGGTGGTCAGGAAAATATTTCGATACTACTCATGCCGTGTGATCCAAATTTGTCAGTGTGTTTGGGTGCATACGTGGAGAATGTGATACTTTCGGCAACGTCACCAAACAATAAAAGGTAATAATATGCAATAATCATGTTTGTAAAAACACATACATGGAATGGTAAATTGGTTCCGACCCTCCCACTTTTAACTGTATAATTTGTAAGAACAAGAAATTGCAACACCTGGACCTAGTTCCTGTCTCCAACCACGAGCAAAAATCCAAAATTTGTTCCGGCATCTTGTTTTTTTCCACAGGACATTTATTTCAACACACCCAAAACACCTCGTGCAATGTTTTCCTTTGCGTTCCCCGCGTTCCCCACGTTCCACGCCGCTTGCCGCCACTGCACTGCCTCGGCCACTGCGCTGCCAGAAGACCACCGCAGCATCGAGGCCGCCCGAAGCGAGAGTCCAATCACGGCCTGGTCGCCCCGGTCTCGTGACTCCCATGATCTCGGTTGTCGTCGTCGAACTCGTCTTCGGTTTTCGTTCCTTCAATCATTTCGTTTCGGTGGTCGAGTCGTCGCTCTGGTTTTCGGTGGTCCAAACAACATGTTGGTAACCCAATAACACGCACATGTTTGTTTGCAAAGATCGGTGCAGAAATCATGCATTACAATTTTCAAAAAAGCGCAAAAACAACATCTGTGTTATCTAGACAATGGTTAATGTTGTGCCAACATCTGAGACCAATAATCAAGATATCAAACAACTGCAAAACATTGACATGTCAACAAACAACAAAAACGAAACGTTGCAAAGCAAAAACAACATTGAACAAACAAAAAACAAACAAACTGCACATAATGATTTTGATCAAACACACACACACGAATAAGGTCAAACAATGTCGACACAAATGCTTAGGTAAAAACATATTTGCAAACTATGCATCTGTTGAAACCAAAGTTGAAAACCATAAAGAAGAACCTTATATAATCTATCTTGATCACAAAACAAAGATTTGATCACAAAAATCTATACTGACCAATTTTGATCAACACTGATCTATGTCGATCAAATCTGTCTTTTCAGTCTTTGGTCAGAGACACACCGGCTTTCCTATTTTTTGGCGTAATGTGTTGGTTGTCATTTTGTATTTCATGCGTTTGTATTTTTGACCCTCAAACCCACCCCCAACATGTCCACACCTCAAAAGGCACTTGCAACTCCCAGTCCCAAAGGTACACATAGAATGATTCTCCGAAACCGAGAGAAACTTCTACCCTTTGCAAAGCAACTTCTCTGAAGGCTCTGGTTCCGTCCCGCAGCAAAACCACGTCGAAAACCAATCGGACCCAATCAGATTTCAACATAGTATATACATAAGCCTTGCCACTCGCCTTGCGCACTGGTTTACACTCCATTCCCAGACCAACCATATGTCATGTTAGGGTCATACATGGACTAACACATTGTGGAACTTTCTGATATACATGGATGTATGGTCTATAGGGCAGGAAACCCAGGAAACACAATCCGCAATGATGACATGTACTGTAATGATGATAACAAAAACTATATGAAACTGTCTTCGATCGTCGAGATCTCCGCTCTTCACTTGCAGGTCTGCTCCTCTTATTTTGATCGTCGGGACTCGGGACCATGAGTCTGCCCCCTCGACCTTGCCGTCCACCGTCTTCGTTTTTCGCGCTTCCCCACCCTCACCCGTCCCTTAACTCGCCTGGCTTCCAGGCCACGCAGCTGCAAATATTATCCTCAGCGCGAGGAAGATGGGGGGGTTGCCTTCAACATGTTCTGTAGGCAAGATAGGCAAGATCTGTGTGTGAGCAAAACACGCAAGCGCAGCAGTGCGCGAGCGTGATGAAGAGGGGAAGCCTCTTCACGACAGCGTGAAGAACACCAAATGAACTGGCTCCACCGACAGGAACTGCCTCAGTGACTCTAGGGACACTGAGTCCAGTCAGGTGGTAACGTCTACTTCATCATTCTTCATGGTACTGCAAAAAAGCAGCGCTGGTCTCTTCATTCCCGTCTTTGTTGGAGGCATCATCAGCGTCTTGCAAGGGTGCCAAGATGTTGAACACAGGAGCACCAGCCTCCTTGTTCTTCGTCTGCTTGGCCTGCATCATCTCGGAGCCGCTCTTCCGGTAAAATTCTGTCAATCAAGCGTGATGAAGCTTGAAGGCAGGGAACGCGACAGGATGAGCGTTGAGCCTGCTGATTGTATATGTCGAGTCCATGCCTGGAATGAGACGGCTGTAAAGTCTCAACCAACTTCTTGTACCCGGAAAGTTCAAAGTCCAACTTCCTTCGCAACATCACTCAGCTGTTGCAGCCGATTCTCCCTGGGTGAGTGTCTCTGGGTCTGTGATGCGTTCGTTCAGGTAATCGAGCACTACATCCGGCGATGCCATGAGACTGTTTCGGCCCTAATCCCAGCCCCGAATGCACAACAGGAACGAAAAGCCTGTGGCGCCTGGCTGCCACAGCTTGCCAGCTGTTGAGTCGCACTGCGTGATAGTACTGTGGTTGCAACGCAAAATTGGCAGCATCACTCGGCTGTGTGTGCCGCCCCAAACACGGTGATTGGACAAACGACCCCTGTTGGTAAACATAGATTGGGGGGTCCCAACTCCGGTGACCCTAGTGCATGTAAATCCAACTAAAACTACTCCGGTATGACGTAGTGAGACACCTTCCACCTTGCTGGTCTTCCTTCGCCCGTGCCTGCCTGAGACCTGCCGTCAAGCCGCGTGGCCCGCCTTTCCGGCCAAGGTCTTATCCACGCGCCTGGGCGCATCGATTGGCAAGCCATCACGCTCAGCGCCGCGAGCGCCGCGAGCTGTTTGGAACTGGAATATGCGCCGCCCCATATGGACCCCAAATCAACCAGGACTGATCGGTCAATAGGTCACTCCCAGACAAGTCGTGGGCCCCTGGTTTAGACCAAGGCGGCCCCAAGGGGACAACAGCTTCCATGATTGTTTGAGGGAGGGAAAATACATGCTCAAAACATGTTATGCTATAAATTTATACATTGTAGATTAGATTTGTCAAGGAAGCTTGAAAATGCACATGTTCCTGATTCCCAAGGAGATCCAGCACGAGAAACTCTCAGCAACACCAGGATCAAACCAGGCTGTCAAAAGATGTTGTCAGAACTTGTAAACCATGTGAATGGCTGGCTGAGAGTTGCGGCGCATGGGCGGCCCACCTGGGACCTGTTATGAATGGGACTGGTTGGGAGCTAGGCCACTGATGGCATGGGTGAATGGGATGGGGAACATGTTAGCCCCTGGCCACGACGTCCGGCCATGGGTACTCCCTGGACAACACCGCAACATGCGATCCTGAAGGAGACCACAACAAAACCTTCCGTTGATCTGAGGCAAACGTAGAACGGATGATTCTGATCTTCTGATATCAAATGATCCACGGATGGCTGTCAGAACGGTTACGTCTACCCCGGGGCACCCACCAGGTGGACTCTAGCTGACTGAAGTCAAGGAAATTCCTAAACTCGGGTCACCGAAAGAACTATCAAAAACCATTCTGTTTAAAGTTAATCGTCTTTGTCTCCCAGGGCGAGCCACATGCACCGCCCAGGCACCACGTGTTGAGGTCCAGCAAGTGCACGGGGCCCGCATCTTCCGCCACCGCGCACAAGTGCCCGGCGTGGTCGATGGAGATCTGGCGTCGGTCGATACAGGGGGCCCCGTGGACCCCGTGGAGGCCCCTGGATTGCGTGGGCCTGCTAAGCGAAGCAGCACTTCAAGTCCGAGCTAAGCTAGCAGCTAGGGCAGCTCGGAGAATGGACATGTTTTGAATGTGTTTTGTGTTCTAATGTGTTAATGGACCATGGATCTTGGATGATCTCTCTAACTTGTGTGAAGACTTCCAAAATGTCTGACAAAAGGGAAAACAGCGTCAGAAGACGACCAAGACATCCGAAGACTTCCATGAAATCGACCCTCGGAAGGAACATTCCTTCCCCTTCTTGGAACCCAAACACAGGCTCTCCACAAGTTGAACTGATGGAGGACTCCAAAAACTGTGTTTTCTGTGGTTTTTCCTATGTTTTCCTGGACCGGGGAGACATGTAAGGAGACAAGTGGAGAGACAAAGAAACAGTGGTACCGATGGAGCAAAATGCAAATCAACCACCCAGTCATTCATTGAGAAGTCAGAACCCCCTACAGCTTTAGCCAGATCTCTGGGGACTTCAGCTGTCTCAAGCAACATTGACATGTTGGTTGATGGTCTCCAAAATGGCTTTACATCATCATATGATAGGGATTTATTTCTGAGATCCACCGCCTCGGGCCGCTCGGTACCGGGACCTCGCCTGGTTGATCTCATCTCTCGCCAGGTCTCGCTCTCCACTGGGTTCCTCACCGGTGGGTCGTAGCCAAAACCCAAACTTAAAAAATGCGTTCGGTGGACTCCTCTCTGGTAATGACTCCTATAGCAAGACTACCAATGGAACTGGAAGAGTTACATACGTTAGGGGTGTCCTATTTCCTGGTCAGATCAGTAAACAATGTTCAGTATTATTCTAGAAGAATGCCTTTACATGCCTTTACCAACACTCATCATTCATCCACTGTTACAGGGAATCGGATAATCCCCAATACGTACATTTACTGTAGCCCATTTTCTCCCATTTAACCCCATCCCAATGACCTGAAAGCATCTATTCCAGTCCCATGTCTCTGGTCTGGTTTCCAACCGGCCCGGGTGGATGTACCGAGCAACACACTTCCTGAGACGTTTCTGAATAAAACTGGACTAGTTGACCACACCTTGGCTGTCCAGCTGCCTGATGCGCAAGATTCTTGCGTGGTCTGGTCAAAATGCATGTCTCCTTCAAGGCAGACGTGCAATCGGCGATTGTTTGGACAAATGTTTGCCCTTTGAGCCTTTGAGCCACCTCAAACTCCATCTCGATTTGCTTGACAAGTGGCAACTTTGCAATGTCAGGATCGTCAGGTCTATCTCTCCACTTGAATAGAGAGAGCCGTAAAGAAGGTGCATCAGGACTCACCTGGAAGAATTTGCAAAAGCTTACCGATGCCAGCTGTATGTTGGGAATCAAAATGGCAATGGGAATCAGAATGCAGCTGCTGCTGTTCCTCCAGCTGCCGCTGGTGCCGCTGTTCCTCCAGCTGCAGGCGCAGGTGCCAGTGGAGTGCCAATCCAGCAAGACAATCAAGTGGCTGATGATGGTGAACCGTAAGATAATGAGCCGACCTTCATGTAATCTACTGATGACTGATGAGACAATTTTAATTTTCATGATTGACACGGATGGCATGAATGACAAACGACTCATGACAATGATGTCGTCGTGTTTGCAGGTGTTGTCTAAAAGATCATTGAAAACAATGGAACACCAGTGTTGCTTTGAACATCTGAAGCGATGTGATCTTTTGCCACTAGTTTGCTTTGGGAGGTTGGGACTTGAGGAATGGAGTGGACGGGGTGAAGGTAACCAGGTAACAGTTCATGGAAAATGACATGTTTTTGTGTTTGTTCACTCCATGGCTTCTTGGTGCAAGCTCTTTTTGAGAAAACAATTTGTACCTCAAATCAGGGGATGCAACTATGCAGAAGCAGTTCTGCGGCGGTTTGACGTTGCAAGTATAGCTGGGGTCGAAAAAGATCCAAAAAAGAGTTGCAGTTTGCCATGCCTCTTCTTGGTAGTGGTGACCTGCTTCATGCATATAAGAGTTGCATGACTTCTGACATATGACATGTGACCTTATTTGTGTCATCGTGTTAGGGATGACTTGCTGCATTTATCTGTGGTGAAAGGACATGGATGGACCTGTTTTTGTTCTAGTGACGATCAGTACAAGAGATTAAGGACTTAATATATCTTGAAATTCTGACTGTCATTCATGACTTATGACATATGGTGAACTTGTGACACGGAACTCATGGCAGCACTGCTTGTGGCATGGCAGCAGCCGGGCATTCCACTATTACCTCACAACGCTGACAGAATCGTTCTCCGTTCTGGTACCAATTTTCCCTCAACCGTTGCTTATTGTCTTCATCAAGGCGGAGTTCTATTTTTGGACTTGGCGTGCTTTGTCTTTCATCAATCTTGATGATGTCCAGCTCAGGTGGAGCATTGTTCAAGTTCACTGGACTTTTCACACCCGACCTTGAAGTGACCTCGACTGGAGTCATCAGCAATTTTCAAGAGGTGGTGAAGTGTGCACATGGGACCTTTCAGAGTACCTGGAAGCTTCAATGGGACAGCATGACCTCATCAGGGACAGGGCTTTTGAGCACTTCTTGCGATGAGCCAAGTACACTCCTCGATGTCCTCCCGTTTTGACGTTGGTTGCAAAAACAAGGCGAAAACAAGCAAAACATTCATGGACAAAACACAAGTCTGGTGAACTCGTATGCTTGTTGTTGACCTCTGTAGTGACTTCATTGGCTCACGTTCTGCATCTCTACTACTGGCAGATTCACGCTGAAGAAGCTGAAAACATCCCTTCAAGACGATTGAGGCAGGGCAGGGAACTTGTTTCAGGTTAAACTGGTCAGGCTCAAGTAATACTATTTCCACCAGTCTTACAAATAGAAGCTTTGTTGTTGATGTCAAATGATGCCATAGCATATCAATAAATCCAAATGTACAAAAAATAGGTAAGTCATATACACATGACATGACTGGAGCCATGACCAATGTTTGTGCTTTTGGTGTGTCACAAACTTCCCCAACCACGAACAACCGTGGTTCTGAAGATCAACCTGCACGCTCTCAAAGAAAGATTCATGTGGCCGAAATCTGGCTTGTGATGCTCGGGATTTGAACATGTCTGTGACAAGACTTGCCAAGGTTAGGGCCAGAGAGGAACATGCAGGCAACACCCTGGAAAGTGCTGGCAAAGGAAGCTCCTACAAATGTACGATACAAGAATGGAACTTTGCTTCATTGGAGCTCAACATTTGACTCTGATCACAGACGGTTCCACCCATGGATGGCGAGACACCCTCATGACCTGTGTTTTCGACCCTATGGAATAGGGGCAGGCTGGGCAACTTGCATGGCTATTTGGCCTTCAAAGTTCGTGAGCCGAGGAGACTATGATTTAGACATCGAGGTGGAACGACTATACTAGCACAGAGAGAGGGTGAGAGACTGAGCAGTTACAAATTGCTCCAGGCATTATCAAAGCGGTTGTGGCTGGTGACTCGCAAGCAGCTTAGCATGACGGATTTGAAAGTGCCTGTGGATCAGCTTCCAGCATTTGAGAGGCAACCTGGAGATTTCAGGACAGTTGAAAATGGTTGGCTGCATGTGACCAAGGAAAAATGCATCTGCATCATCTGAGAATGCTGAGCTCCGTATTTCCTAAGCCGGCTGGTGGATGGCAGGGGGTGGGGCTTGAGCGATCGATGTGTCGTCTAAAGGAGGCTGGGTTGGCAGTGCTTGGTGGGGATGCTCCTGCGTGTCAAGCTGACGTGCGCGGCGTCTTCGCGGTGGAGATACCTCATAACGAGCTCGTAAGCATCCAATGAGTGGAGCAGCTCCAATCTCCCTGAGCCCGAAATTGGCTCTCCTGGCCCCATATACTGTTTTAGGTTTAACCGAACTATATAGTGGTTCAGAAAGGCACCCCTGCTAAAGCTAAGTCACATTGTCAATTACAGAGTATGCTTTTTCCCCACCTCTCAGGTGAGGGTTATTAGATTTTTAAGAGATGTGCCACAACTCCTTCTCATCAATGTCCTCGTCCTCGTCCCCATCCCCTCACAACAGCACTCTCGGACGCCAACAGCAAGCGCCAGATGCGGGTCAACAACGAGCGCCAGATCGCAGTGGGCAATCTTGGACCTCAACAGCAAGCCCCCACACAACACACAAACACAACCATGAACACACAACACACAAACATAAACACAACCACACAAAAAATATCCACAACCAAACAAAACACAACCAACAAAACAACCACAACCCCACAATAGACAACCAACAGCGCGCAACCACAAACCCCACAACCAACAACTCACAACCACAACCACAAACACACAACACAACACACAACACACAATACACGACCAACAACACAACCACAAACGCACAACCACAAACACACATTACACGACCACAAGTACAACCACGAACACACAACCAACAAAACACAAACACGACCAACAAGACACAACCACACATTACACAACCAACAAACACAACCACAAACACGCAACACAGAACCACAACCACACAACCATAAACCTTCCCGATGCGAACTCCCCAACACTAAAACAAGGCTCGGGGCTGACACACCGCCTTGCAACTGTGTGCGCGGTTGATTTGTGCTTTATGTTGGTCCGTGGAGCTCTTATTTATACAGTAGATGTTTCTTAGAAATGCATTTCCGGATGCATCACATCTCATGCGATTTTCCAAGTAGAATGCTTGCAAGCGTCTCCCTACAGCGAAACGCGCATTTTGGATTGGAGTGCGCAAAAAAGGTGTTAAACCATGTTTTAAAAACACAATTGTTTGACTGCAAGGTTTCCAGATGGCTTGCATCTTTTTCAAGTTTCCACAAGCCGTCAAGTTGCGTGTGTGCACTAGGCCACTAGGCCCCCACCCAACCCGACCCCCCGCCCCACCCCCATCTTCCAAAGTGCGTGCATGTGACATCACCTTCGAAGCAACCGGAACGTGACGTACGTGACAGGCGCAAGGGCGGTGTATAAGCCGCGGGCCTAAAGCAACAACGCCAAAACCGAGGACCCATAAGCAAAATCGAGAACCACTAAACCCCACCACCATGGCAACACGCTCCTCACCATGGCATGAACGCAATTGATTGAAATGTCATGTTGGGGATCACCCGAAGCAGTAATGTAATATATTAGTATGTTCTTTTCATGTTGTTTTCCCAAACTGTCGAGGCCAATGGACGAGTGCCTGGCTTGGCCGAATCGGAAGCCGGTTTGGGAACATGAGATGTCATGAAGGAATGTGCTGCAGGGGATCATCATCATGAGTCTTCCCACTTTTACTGTGAGACTCATGGTGGTCAAAGACCACCTGAAATAACGTCTTCTGCATGGTGGGAAGAAAGTCTTGTTCTGTGAACGTCTTTCTATGGGAGTCATAGAACGTCTTCCTACTGTGGGGGTCAACCAGAACCTCTACTGCGAAGCTGCTAGGCAAGCAGACGGACAATCCAGAAGGTCTCCCCACTCTGTACGTAGTCATGCCCCTGTTGTATGACATGCTCAGAAGAACATCGACTGCCACCCTCTGAGAAGGTATGTGGATCCCTAGGTCCTATAGGGATGATCAAACGATCCCTAGGCCAGAGAGATGATCTACACCATGGACCATGGAAGTTATAACATCTTGTGGCCGCCAGAGACATACGGAAGTTGTAGACGTCTGAGATGTGGCAACGAAAGAAAACCGGAAATTCCCTGTCAGCATGTCCTTCATTACCTGTCACCCTGTCTCTCCAACAACACGGGTAGAAGGCAAAAACCAACAATCCGCCAAGAGTCTTCCAACACATCTACAGTTACATGCATCTACAGTACATCCAAGCTATGCCTTGATGCACACGATGATACTTGCGCCTGTGGGGTCCGAGCGAGAAAGCAGCCAGCGAGTGATGCAGTGAGGCTCCCATGTCCCCGGAACGGTGGACGGTGAAACACCAAACTTGAGAAACCTGACCTGTTCATATGGATTCATATGGGGAAACCAATCACCCAACGAAAACATCAGCTTCACCATGTTAACTATGTTCACCACTGAGTGGAAAAGTGGAAAAAAACAAACGAATAAATCATAATAAATCTGTAGATTTATGATCTCAACTCGATTCACAATTCCCAATGTTGGATATGTCGGTTACACATGATCCTGATCTTCTGGGCGACATCCCTCAGCCGTCGTTCCGCCCCAAGGCCCAAGAGCTGCCCTCCTGCAGCAAGACCTTCTCGGACCGCAGGTCAAATCCAAGCACTTTCCCGCCAACGGCAGCCAAAAGCCTCATGGCTTCAGGTTGATTGAGAAGCAAAAGAAGCAAACTCACTCCCTTACGAGACTGGTGTGGTTCAGTCCTGAAGTTGGGCACACTGCGTGCAACTCCTTCATGGGACGCAAACAACTTCAGAATCCACATCAGCTGCATCCCTGAGATGTGAGGAAACCCCCAGTGGATTGGAACCTGGCAAAGATGTCTCATCATCTGAATGCTTGGACGTTCAAAACCCAATGCACAAGTTTCACAGAATTGGCTGGACCACTTCTGCCCCCCATCAGAACATGCATAACTTGGGGGGGCCCCCTGACAACTATTCTTTACGAAGGTTTGGATGTATAATTCTCTACATAAGGCTCATCAGAAAGCCTGCGCTTTCCACGTTTCCAAGGTCAATTTTCCACAGAAAACAAGCACACTTTCCACACTTTTTGTGTCTATTTTCCACGCATCCAGAGCCAAATTTCCACCTGTAACAGGCCAATTTTCCACACTTCTGGTGTCTATTTTCCACGCATCCAGAGCCAAATTTCCACCTGTAACAGGCCAATTTTCCACACTTCTGGAATCCATTTTCCACACTTCCAAAGCCCGTTTTTCCACCTGTAATTTCCAATCATTCATCCCACCTCGATCACTTCAAAATGAATGACACATCACATCAATATCATAAAGCACAGGCCGCGTGAACATATCAATCATATCCAATATCAAATGATCAAGTTGTTTCAAGTTGTATCATTTGGGGAATTTGGTGTATACGGCATGGGCCCAAAAGATATCCAACGGTACAATGCGCCGTAAATGCTTGTCACGCCACACAGTCTATCACAAACTTACATTGTCAATTGTCAATGATACTGTAGCTGTAACTGTTTGTTTGTTGTTCGTTACTTGTTTACTGTTTACTCTTACCGGTTTCTGTTTGCAGCGGTTTGTACGTTTCACGTTTGTTTTGCATCTCCGCCAATTCCCTATAGCCTATTGGCATGCTGCATGCTGCTTAGCCAATCGGCACAGCACTGCGGCCAACACTTTTTTTTGACAGCTGTGGGCTGCGAGTTTGATCAACAGCAGCAGCACCTCCACACCACAAAAGCCTGCGGCGTGTGGTGAACCAACACTGGACCCTATGATCACATGTAATCTGACTCTTGACCCCGAAACTCTGCGGAGGCCCACATGATTCACATGATGGACACCGGTCACTTGAATACAAAATTGGCTGAGCTGACATTAGGGGAGGGGCCTTGCCTTGCCTGTAGCCTACGGCCAAGGTCAGGCGTAGCCGCCAGGAAGAAGGACCGCTCCTAATTTGCAAGCGATCTCAAACAAAACAATAGTCAATAAATCTAAGCAATCTAGATCTGAATCTGGCTGCTCTGAACGGTATGGGTTTGTTTTGTGGCATCAATGACTCAATGCCAATGAAGCATGCAGCATCTCATCTCTTTTTGCACGCTCTGTTTGAATCGGTCCCCCGACGCAACAATGCTCGCCCTCGAGACAGCACAGTTTTTACTTTGCCATCCTGAAGGATGTTAAGAGACATGAAGTTGCCGCTGACCCCTTGTCAAAAATAGGGACGAGTGAACCGGCAATCAAACGCGACATGAATCACAAGTAGGTAATGCAATAAACAAGTCAGTTTTGTGACTGCCGGTCAGCTTCGTTGCAGTTTGTGCAACACCCTACTGCAAGCTGAAGAAGCTTGTTCGTCAAGAATATCTTCCCGATAGGCCGCCCAAGTCCCCATGTCACGTTTTATGTCTTATGTAACTTCAACCTTGGAAAGTTTCACCGTTCTATATAGAATGCTCACATTTATCCAACATAACATAATATAATTTTAATAATACAATAAATAAAACATATCAATATCAATGAGTCAATGAGTATATCAATGTAATTTTTGAATCATATGATTCATATGTACTATCTCTGACTCTGACTATCTACCATCGCCAATCCATAAAAGTGAACAATATTGAATATGGAAGACTGGAAAACTGGAAAGCGGCCACAGGAATCAAACACCCAGAAGAACGCTAACCTCAAGCCTCACCCCACTCTGCAGTCTTCTTGTCCGGCGTGGCGGCCATCTTGGTCAAGAACATGTCAAGGTTGGCGGGGAGCTTCACTTGCCGAGATGTGACCATGACACGGGCCCTCCGGGCCAGCTGGCCACGGGTCTCGCCTGACTTCAGGGGGCGCCACAGTGCCTGGATGGTGGCCAGGCAACTGTTTAATGCCTTGCCTTTCTCGCATGACTCGCCAACCAAAGTTGCCGTTGCATCCTTGACTTCCTTCTTCACAGCATCGAAGGAATCATTTTTGATGGCGATGTCTTTCACAGCACTCAGGGCGGCGAATACTTCGTTCAAAGAGTCGACCTCTTTGACCAGCCCATGCAAGGATTTGGATGGCTTGGACTGGGCGACAAGAAGCAGCTTGGGCATGGTGACCTCCGTGCAACCAGCGTTGATCAGGTCATTCGTCTTCAGCAACTCCTCATTTGACAAGACTTCGTCCAGCTCCTGCAAAACCTTGCACTTCACATCCACCGCTGCCTTGACCACGGATTGGGCTGAACGGCAGAGCGCAGCCTCAACGATACCAATGAACTTGTTCGTCACAAAGATCTTAGCTCCATCACCATCACTCTCATTCAATGTGAGCGCTGTCATGGAACTCCCAAACTCCTCTAACTCGGCATAGGCAGAAGCAGTTGCCGTCAGGAACTCTTGGTATTTGGAAGACGTCACTTTGGGATCTTTAACTAGCCCGGCTTCCAAAGCTGAACAAGTTTTGCAAAGAGCCACCGTTTTCAAAGCTTTGGGCAAGAAGCACACCATCCAAATCCGCACCTGTGCTAAAGAAAGGCCAGATTCATCTTCTGCCTGGTCTGCATCACCACTACCTTCTGCTGCAGCAGCAGTCATACTGACCCCAAAGTCTGGCAGCTTCTTCTCAAGCCACTCTGGAAAGGATTTGACGATCTGCTCACACTGCTTTTGGGAAGATTTGATCGTGTCTTGGTCAATGTCGAGGTCCATGTCAACCTGCAGCTCTGGACCCTTGGAATCCACGAAAGCCAGCAGCTTTCGCGCGCCCAAGCGTGAGAGCAAAGGTGAGGCGACTGAATCCAATGTTTTGCGCAACATGGATAAAAGGCGGGCCTCTGCCAATTGCGAGAAGACCTGAAACTGAGGCAACCCCTTCACACCATCTGACGGGCTGAAGAGAATCGAGACTAAGGCTCCCAAATTCTCATCTGGATTGATCGGGTCCAAAGCATTTCCATCCACTAGGACGCTGAAGGTCAACTTGATGACTTTGGCCAGATTGGTCACTTCGCTGCTGCATTTGACGAGGTCCGTCAAATCCTTCTCGGCTCTCAAGCGGCCAAGGTGGTCAGAGGGAAGCGGAACTGTCTCCATTTCCTCGGCCACAGTCAGAACGGCCTGAAGGTCCTCTGACTTGAAGTCTTTGGGAAGGACGGCACCAGAAGTGATCTCAGTCATGTGCTTGATAAACAAAGTGAAGCACTTCTCCGACTCTTTGTTCCAAGCCTCACGCATCATCTTCTCTATGCGTTTGGCAAACTCCTCTAGAGGCGGCAAACACACAAAAGCAGCAGCAACAAATGCAATACTATTGACTCACTATTTTCTATTGACGGTCCATGCCCACCAACATGTAACATAACATAATTGTTCACTCGATTCCCTGGCAGTAACAGGAACAAATGGATCATGTGCACTAGGAAGGCAATAGCAAATGGAGAACGGGACAGCAGGAGCATGTCGACCATGCATCAAAATGACCGATCTTTGCTACCTAGCAAGGGCCTACAAGGCCAGGGTCGATCGAGTAGGCCGCTGAAAAGAAACGCAAAATTTCTAGCGATCCACTGGTACAAGGCAAACCTGGCAAACCCCGTCCTCGACCTCGTTTGCAACTGAACGAACTTCTTGTCCATGGATATCCATGAAGGTTTCGCTGGCCTTTTCTGTCACCTGTCATCGAGATTGGAATTTTGAACATAGTTCGAAATGAAGACACTCGGCTAGTTAGCATACCAGCAGATCATGTTTTCCACTGCCCATCTATCACTTCCCCCGCCAATGCGCACAGTTGCTTGAGATTGAGTTATAAGTTCAAACAAGCAACCTGTTCATGATTTAAAACATTTACAGTTACATTCATATGATTCATATGCCATATACAATTTTCATATAAGACTTTTTAGACATACACATTGTTCATATGAATATTGTATGTCACATAATGTAACATACAACTTTCATCTAAGACATGCTTATATTTATAAAGCGTATATTCAACACCAGGCCTCCACGCAGATTGCAAAAATCTTGCCAAAATGGTCTGCAGCGGCGGTGACATCGCCCAACATAGCATCCTCCTTGAGTGTGGGCGCTGCCTTGAGCAAATCAGCCGCTGTGTTCAATTTCACCACCAGTTCGACATCCCGCTTCCTGGCACTCACGGCTGATGTCACCCCTTCCAAGATCTGGAGCCCTGTTGGAAAATTGCACATGACTTTGTGCAGTTTGAGCTGTTTGTCGTCAGTAAAGCGGGTCGAGTTCTTCTCCAATTCATCCAACGTCACATCTTTGCTCAGTGGTGTCATCAGAGGCTTCAGCAAGGCAAACTCCTGTCGCACTGCCGAGTCCTCAGGCAATGCACTGTTGTTGCCCACAGCCACCTCCAACAGCAGCTTGACCTCTTCAACCTTGTTTTCCTCCCGCAGCAATGCCACACACAGCCTGGATCAATCGTTGCAGAATCCCGCCCCCGACGCAACTATCCTTACAGTATATTAAACTTTTTGCCACTGCACACGCAGCAATCAATGATAATTTATGGGAGATTGATTGGCTGGACTCAATTGTGACTTGATTTGATCTCACTTGTCATTGATATCCTTTGTGATATAGTATCACGGCATCAGCATGGCAAGCAATTCCATCACAAATTGCACCC